GCAGGAGACCACCAAGGTACGCATTTTGAGAGTGTCTACCCGAGGTTTGAAGGACTGCATTCGAAGCTGCGATTAAAACCGAAGACAAAAATGATTGTAACAGCTCAGCAGTTGAAGACAAAGGAAAGAGTTCTTCACTAGAAACAGTCTGACTTGAGTAAATGGCCCAATTCACCTATTCAAGCTGCTATCGTGGGCATCGAGGAGGACGAGAATATAAATGGCAAGTAAGGAGAATAGGAAAATAATCGTCGTCATGTAAATCAGGGAGCACAGACCAGAGTGAAGGAGTGGAGGAACAAATTGAGAGATCTGTGCAAGAGAAAGTTTGAGTGGGAGGGTTTAAATGAGTGGAAGTACCTGTATTTAAAACATGGAGGGGGAAAAGAAGTGAAAAGAGCCTCTAACTGATCACCACGAAAGTCACAATGAGACTTTCCCCAGAGGGAATGACTAACATTAAAATCACTAAATAAAAGGAGAGGAGGAGGAGGCAGGGAAGAAATTAGAGATGCCACATCCGAAAGACATAATGGCCGAGAAGAAGAAAGATATAAAGAGCAGATATATCAAAGTATTACACTGCAGACTGCAATGTAATGCAGCGAAGTATGGATAAGCGCCCAAGAATGTGGTATACTATGGCGCACGAGAAGTGCAGTTTCATTATAAGTCCCATCGGGAAAAGGATCCGATGACTGCAAATACTATATAGCGAGAGGGAACGGAACACAGCAGAGCACAATTTTTGTTCGTGTAAGCAGACACAAACTTGGGACAACTGGGAGAGCAACACCTGAAGCTCACCCAGATTAACCCTGAGGCCTCGAATATTCCACTGTAAATAAGCCATGATCAGCTTAAATAGCGTAACAATAACATTTTGCAGGTGTCAACACACATACTACACCTGTCCACCTCTCCCCAGGTACTACCCTACACACACTACACCTGTCCACCTCTCCCCAGGTACTACCCTACACACACACTACACCTCTCCACCTCTCCCCAGGTACTACCCTACACACACTACACCTGTCCACCTCTCCCCAGGTACTACCCTACACACACACTACACCTGTCAACCTCTCCCCAGGTACCACCCTACACACACACTACACCTGTCCACCTCTCCCCAGGTACTACCCTACACACACTACACCTGTCCACCTCTAGCCAGGTACTACCCTACACACACTACACCTGTCAACCTCTCCCCAGGTACTACCCTACACACACACTACACCTGTCCACCTCTCCCCAGGTACCACCCTACACACACTACACCTGTCCACCTCTCCCCAGGTACTACCCTACACACACACTACACCTGTCCACCTCTCCCCAGGTACTACCCTACACACACTACACCTGTCACACCTCCCCAGGTACTACCCTACACACACTACACCTGTCAACCTCTCCCCAGGTACTACCCTACACACACACTACACCTGTCCACCTCTCCCCAGGTACCACCCTACACACACTACACCTGTCCACCTCTCCCCAGGTACTACCCTACACACACACACTACACCTGTCCACCTCTCCCCAGGTACCACCCTACACACACGCTACACCTGTCCACCTCTCCCCAGGTACTACCCTACACACACACTACACCTGTCCACCTCTCCCCAGGTACTACCCTACACACACTACACCTGTCAACCTCTCCCCAGGTACTACCCTACACACACTACACCTGTCAACCTCTCCCCAGGTACTACCCTACACACACTACACCTGTCAACCTCCCCAGGTACTACCCTACACACACTACACCTGTCAACCTCTCCCCAGGTACTACCCTACACACACGCTACACCTGTCCACCTCTCCCCAGGTACTACCCTACACACACTACACCTGTCAACCTCTCCCCAGGTACTACCCTACACACACTACACCTGTCAACCTCTCCCCAGGTACTACCCTACACACACTACACCTGTCCACCTCTCCCCAGGTACTACCCTACACACACTACACCTGTCAACCTCTCCCCAGGTACTACCCTACACACACTACACCTGTCAACCTCTCCCCAGGTACTACCCTACACACACGCTACACCTGTCCACCTCTCCCCAGGTACTACCCTACACACACTACACCTGTCAACCTCTCCCCAGGTACTACCCTACACACACTACACCTGTCAACCTCTCCCCAGGTACTACCCTACACACACTACACCTGTCAACCTCTCCCCAGGTACTACCCTACACACACTACACCTGTCAACCTCTCCCCAGGTACTACCCTACACACACACTACACCTGTCCACCTCTCCCCAGGTACTACCCTACACACACTACACCTGTCAACCTCTCCCCAGGTACTACCCTACACACACTACACCTGTCAACCTCTCCCCAGGTACTACCCTACACACACTACACCTGTCCACCTCTCCCCAGGTACTACCCTACACACACACACTACACCTGTCCACCTCTCCCCAGGTACCACCCTACACACACGCTACACCTGTCCACCTCTCCCAGGTACTACCTACACACACACTACACCTGTCCACCTCTCCCCAGGTACTACCCTACACACACTACACCTGTCAACCTCTCCCCAGGTACTACCCTACACACACTACACCTGTCAACCTCTCCCCAGGTACTACCCTACACACACTACACCTGTCAACCTCTCCCCAGGTACTACCTACACACACTACACCTGTCAACCTCTCCCCAGGTACTACCCTACACACACGCTACACCTGTCCACCTCTCCCCAGGTACTAAACTACACACACTACACCTGTCAACCTCTCCCCAGGTACTACCCTACACACACTACACCTGTCAACCTCTCCCCAGGTACTACCCTACACACACTACACCTGTCCACCTCTCCCCAGGTACTACCCTACACACACTACACCTGTCAACCTCTCCCCAGGTACTACCCTACACACACTACACCTGTCAACCTCTCCCCAGGTACTACCCTACACACACGCTACACCTGTCCACCTCTCCCCAGGTACTACCCTACACACACTACACCTGTCAACCTCTCCCAGGTACTACCCTACACACACTACACCTGTCAACCTCTCCCCAGGTACTACCCTACACACACTACACCTGTCAACCTCTCCCCAGGTACTACCCTACACACACTACACCTGTCAACCTCTCCCCAGGTACTACCCTACACACACACTACACCTGTCCACCTCTCCCCAGGTACTACCCTACACACACTACACCTGTCAACCTCTCCCCAGGTACTACCCTACACACACTACACCTGTCAACC